GTTGATGACATTGGTGTCCACTGTCAGGACGTGCGTATCGAGAGGGTAAGGCATTGCGCCGAGATGGGCTGCTCGAATTGAGCAGCTGGAGGTAGTCGGTTCCGCGGATATGGTGGTGGTTGAGATTGAAGAGACACCCAGCGTTGGGGGTGTATTGGGATTCAGTACAGTAGGGCAGATTCGGCACCTGGAGCGAAGCGATATGGATGTTGTCGAGATCAGATTTGGAGTCGCGGGTCGTGGTTTTGCGGGTGGCGGTCGATGATGTCGACGATGAAGTGATGGGCGCTATGTACGTCGGGGGAAATGATGTCGCTGGAAGTGCTGATGCAGACGTCGAGGTGCGAAAGGGCGAAGACAGGAATGCTTTAATATGATGGCGTTTACGGGAGGGGAATCCGGAGAATGCTGGCTCTGGATGTGCGGAGAGGTGTCGAGTCGATGGTCGAGATGTGCTTCTGGTGGAGCAATGAAGTAAGAGGAGAAGGGAAGGGTGGAAAGTCTGGGGGAAGACGGACGTTAATAATTATCGTCACCTCGGGTTTGGCCAGAGAGAGTTGAAAGATGTGGATTAGATGGCAGCGGAGTGGGATGCATGTAAGTAAGTATAGGTAGATGTAATGTGCGATGGGCAATGGGAAGAGATGGGGATTGGGGGGGGGGAGTGGGTGGAAGGGGTGAGAGTACCTTGGGATTTTGGAGGGGGGGGGGCGTGTGGAATGTTGATGCTGGCATGGGGGTGAGTCGCGGTGAGCAAAGTACGTATATCCTCGCACCTCCCTCAGCATGGGACAAGAAGACAAGAGGGGAGGGAGGAGCGAGCAGGGGCCCCCGGCATGAGGCACCACTACCTGGTAAAGAGGGAAAAAAAGAAGAAGGCACGAAGGAGAGGAAGGGAAAGAAGAGGGTGTGGGTGCTTGGGTGTGGGGGTGTGAGTGAGAATTGGGTATGGAGAGGTAAGGTACGTACTGCGGAAAAAATGAGAGAGAGGAGAGACCTTGGGACCTGAGGCCTTGGGTTGTGACGACGGAAGTGTTGAAGCAAAAGTGGAGGTAACTCATGTATTCAGGTACGGGGCACAAAGTACCGCCAGTCGGTGGCTTTTCTCTTTTCCAGAGGGGAATGACCCTCCCCAAGACGAGCATCACAGGAAGTACCACTTCTTCTCAGTTACCAGGTCGGTGTATTCGTGCGGATATACGGACAGCATTCTGCGGTTGCTCAAGCTTTCGACTGTCTTTGCCTCCAGTTGTATCTGTCCATCTGTCCTGGCGAGAGACGGACAAGTCAGTTCTTCTCTGCTGGTTCTTTCGGCTTGTGACGACGCTGGGCCTCTTCGTGCCGGGTGATTCAGAATCAGGTCTAGAGCAGAAAGAAAGACTCAACTCAGTCAACCTAAGTCAGTCATGTCAGTGTGTTCCATCCCAAGCAATGTCAGGGTGTCAGGGGTTCCGAACGACTCTTTGCGGCGGTATCTCGGTACGTAGCCGAATGTACAGACGCAAGACTCCACGAGACCACAGAACCAGAACGGAGAGAGAGCGCGGAACAGTAGTACCAGCACCCAGCAGCGCAGCCATCAAGGACAAGACGGCAAGGCAGTCACGGGTGCGCAAGAGACCTTCTGGGACGGTCAACGACACAGGGATACGTACAAAGGGCACTCCAAGGGCCCAAGGGAAGGGGGTTGACGAGGTCCAGAAACTTGTCGTTCGGGGAAGTTCGGTACACTGCCTGGACGGGGCAAGTCGTGGTGGCTTCCCCCCGGAGTTCGAGAGGGGGGTCCAGGAACGTGAGCTGTCTTGACTCTTGACTTTTGCTCTGATGTTCCCCGAGAGACCCCCAGAGAGACAGTAGCTCCCTTATTCTGATCTTGAACCAAGCCTAAAGGGGCATCATAGGGCAATTGCGCTGAACCCCATACGGCAACCCAACGCGCAATTTTGGGAGCGCGGGTGACCCAAGATACTACTGCTTTCGGTATAGCTCACCTCTCTCGACACTTAGCCCATTTAGGCAGTACTCCAGTCCGTTGAGGCGGCGAACGTCGACGGTCAGCTGTCCGCTCTCCCCCCTCTCCGTTCCATCCCTCCACGTCTTCCAACTTCAGGAACGAAAACTTTCAATTGAGACCTGGGGCCTGGCCCAGCTCAGTCCGTTGGGCTCCACGTTCAGCTCCACGGACGCCTCGCCCACGGGACCGTTTGGGTCATGTGACGGGAGTCTTCTGGCCGTCTTCGTCGCGGCATCACCAATCCAGGCCCATTAGATTGCCGCATTGCGTCCCGTCCGTCCGTCGGTTGTTTTGTCACCGTCAGCACCTCGGCCAATCCAGACCAAGCTACTCCGTATGGAACATGCCAATTCAGTCTCCATATCGCGTCTCCGTCACGGTTCTGGATCTTTGGGGGGCACAGAATCTTCGTACGTACGTTCAAGAGAAAAACGGAGACTCTCCCTGTGCGGAATACGGGGTTTCTGTCACCAATTCTCAGTGGCTAAGTCGTCTGGCCGAATATGCGCCGCGCCTCATCTCCACGTTTTCCATCCAAAAGTCTCCATCGGCCTCGTCTCGACCTCCAAAGACTCCTCCACAGGCAAAGGCTCCTCCGCAGAGTCCACACCTCTACCCCCGTCCGGTTCTCCGTCGCGCTTTTTCCGTCAACCGTCATTCGGTACCTGACCGAAACACCCGTACACTACCCAAAGAAGATAAGCCAGAAATATGCTACCCAAAGAGGCCTGGCGTATCTCCTCGATCTACCGTCCTGCCGGCACTGTTCCCCTTCTGGCACCCTCACAGACCGCGACGGCCTAGAACGAATGCAGCCTCGACAGCTCGCTGCCATTTACAGCGATTTCCGTCTGGTCACTGGTCACGAGCCGCCGTGCCTCTTCCCGCCGAAACGGATCGCCGTCCAGCTCGAACCGTGAAGGCAACGTCCATCAACGCCCTGTCCCTGTCGGTCCCTGTCCAGCTGCTCACCTGCCCTGCGGCCTCGCTGCTCTTCTCCGAACCTGGGGAGCCACTGGAGGGGAAAAAGACTTGTCCTGCCAGAGGGAAAGGGTCCCTGACTGACTGACTCCTTGAGCTGAGAACGGCACAACAGAGGTGACAACGCACAACGAGACCACGAGAAGAAACGCTCGACTCGACTGGTTCGCCTGGTTCTCTCTGCTGTGCCCGTGACTTCGGACCAGCCCAAACCGATGCTTTCTCAATCTCTGCTTCGAGGCTTTAGGTTGCTCAACCCTTCCGTCGGGACGACCGCCAATCGCTTCCCCGGAAACCCCCCTTTGAGTCTTGACGTTCACTCTACGAATACTGGGGTCAAACAGATGCCCTGATTCCGAACGTTCCAATTTCCCCAGCATTCGTTCCCGTCCCTGAAGTCTGGATCACGAGTCGCAGGTGCCGCTGCAAATACAGTGCCCGTTAATTGAATTGCCATGGCATTGTCACCACGGGGACAGACTTGTCGCAGCCCCTCTTCCGCTTCGAGCATCTCCAAACCTACGGATACCACAGCCGCGAGGTCCCTCGGGACGAAATCCGGCCTGCTACGCGGAAGGATAGGTTTAGGTGCAAGATTGAAGGGAGAACATCTTTCGGCGACTCGCAGTGCCTGTCCGTGTCCACGAGACTATCTCTCATGGCGGCTGCATAGCCCTCGATAGTGTCGACTGCTCATAGTGAGCTGGCACCAAAGCAGCTTGCTTGGGCCCGGACTCGCGACGGCGACAAGGTCAATTCGTCGTCGCCAAATTTGGTTGCGGACGAATCGGCGGCGGCCCGTCCTTGAGCGCTGACACGGCGATGTGACATGCTCTGACCCCCTCGCTGGCTTGCGACTTTGCTGCTTGACTGGTTGCGGCAGCGCGTCTGCGCTCGCCCCAAATCGACCCCGTGATAATGCCCATCACTTAGGTCATCAACAAATCCTGCCGCTTGTCGCCTGTCTGCCGCCTGCCCGCTGCCCGCCCACGAAGCTCAGCCCTCGTGAGGCGTCAGTAATGACAAGGGACGCAATAACAACAGTCATTCTCAATGTTGATCGCAAGGAGGCATCCTATCTACAGACATGCACATCAGCCAAGCAGCAACTTGGAACCTGGTATCGATGATGAACTCAACCGCCCTGCTTGCTCATCATCTCATTACCTACCCCGCGGTTGGTTGCCAGAATGTCATGGGATCCAGTGTTCATCAACGGGCTGGACAGGGGGTTGGGGGCAGCAAGAGGCAGATGGGCGCTTTGTGGGCTCTCCCACGCCCCGGAATGAGTTGTTCTTCCTGCTCACGAGAGACACTCATGCCAACTCAGAGGTCAGAAAGAAGAAGGCCAAGACGTATGCAGTCGGTGTCAGAAGGCATGGTTGAGACTGATCGATCCTGAGGGACCGACAGAAGCAGCATGCCAGACCTTCGTTAAACCTTCGAGGCTTTCTGGTTCCTGAACCAGGCGAGACATTCGTTCCCAAACTCTCAAGCCCCGGCATGGGTCAACTGGTCACCAGGCCCCAAAAAGTGCCTCGTCACAGCACCTGGGGGGAACTTTGGAGAGGCTGCAATTGGACCCTTGAAACGTCACCTTTTCCCCAATGCAGTTGCTGGAGCAGTTCCTAGAGCCTGGTGTTCATTTCACCGCGTTGGTGGTCACTCGTCACTCACCTTGCAGTTCGTTTTTTCTGCCACTGGACATCACCAAAGCCCTACAATTCAGAGTTTCAGGCTTTCAGGCTTTGCTCATGGTCCATGTGGTTTACTCATCGCGCAATGACCGCCGCTTGTTTGACAACTCACATTTTCAACTCTGCGCAAAAAGCAACGTTTGTCGTTCGATTGGGACCTTGCTTGACAACAGTTTGGTCAAGTGACGGGTTGCCTCTGGAAGCCCAAAGTCAAGCCAACGCCGGCACCCCACGTCTCGTTAGGTACCATGAAGCAAACACCGCAGCTTAGGGGGCTGAAGCCACTGCCACTCTTTTCCTCTTTTCCCTCACCCTGAAGCCGCGCCACGCCTGGCATCACGGCGACTGTCAGCGCGGGATGCTAGTTCTGTGGGAGCACCCGTCCGTCCGTCACGGTTGGCGGAGCGGCCAGTACCCCTACTCTCCGTGGTCATCTGTTCACCCTTGACCCAGGGTGACTGGAGGATTCTGGCTTGCCTATCTCGCTGTATCCTTGAAAGTTGAAGCCCGATGTGCACGGCATTTTGATACGGGCTTTCGGCGCCATCGTCGATGGGGAGCTCCGCCCTTGTCAAGCCCGAATTGACAATGGCAGAGCACAATATTATCTGCCAGGGGGCACTTGTCGTGAGCGCCGTCACCTTGGTGTTCGCTTCGCAGAAAACGGTCTCCGGGGGACCACGATATCGCTTCCGCGACCATCTAGCAGTCCCGAGGCCGTGGTAATCATACGTCGTGCGGAGCTAATGGGAAATGGACAGGCCCTACGATCCTGCTCCAACTCACCCCCGACAACGGACCGAGAGACAAAACGGAACCCGCGAGTAACATGATTGTGAGAAGACGCGAACATGGTGACGATCATACGAGGCAGGAGGGAAAAAAGGTATTGTCCTAGCCTTGCAAAGATATCGCTTGCGCATATGAGAACACGCGACGCCGAAGCCAACGGCGCAGTTGGAGCTAGGGGAGAGGCTTTCCGAGGAATCAATCACTCTTGATTCCTTCCCAAACTCCCGGATGCCGGTGTGCATGGGTTCTAAGATGAAGGGCACGGCGCAAGCCATACTCGAACTGCGTACCCGGTGAGCATTCCATCGAAAGACCGATGGCGCGACAAACAATTGTTCGGTGCAAGTTGCGCCCTCGAGCCGGGGTGGCATATTCGTACGCATAGTGTACGAAGTAGACATGGCCAGAAAAGATGAGACGGCTTGGATCCAACAACCCGGATTATTGGAATCGTGGGATTGTCAGGAGTGTCGTTAACTGACAGGACTGTTGGTTCTCCTCCCTTTTCCTTCCTCGGCTACGACTATACCCATGGTATTGCGAGTTGTTGCGACAAGCAGGCCAACGGGGGATGGGTGAAAACCGATATCCCATGGGCCATGAACCCATGCCATCATTCACGAAAGGACGGAGCATTCACCTGAAGTTGACCTCGGCCGGGGGTGGGAAGGGGGGGAAGCGACCCGGTTCTGGAAGGCCAACTGATGCATCCCAATCAAATTGACTTTGCTACACCTGGTCACCGGTAGAGGGATTGGGAAGGCGATAAATCATACAAAAATCCCAAGAACCGGGGACGGTGTAGACGCTCCACCACTCATGGTCCACTGCTATTGTGGTTGGTTGGGCGCAACGGGAAAAATCGTGCACCTCGGCCTGGCTTGCGGTACTTCTTCGCTTCGCCGCACACAACTGCAAGCACACCAGGCCACCCAGGTTCCGCCAAGGTGAGGAGAATGCTTGTGAAGGTGAAAAGGTGTGGGAGTTGGAGATTGGAGAGGGGAAGGGGAAGGGGAAGGGTGTGGTTCTTTGAGCAAACGGGTCCCGACAAGGCATCTCCAACGACGACAATTACGACATGGCCATCCGACTCCCTCTTTCTTCTCTTCTCTCAAAAGGTTCCCAGGAGACTGGACGACGACACCCATGATGAGACGAAATGGGCCGGGTCCCCGGTTCACACTTGACTTTTGACCTCACATATCTGATTTTGTTTTTGCTACTACGGATACTCTCTAGGTCGCTGTTTGCACGCCTTGTCGACTACTGCGAAAATGATACGTCGCATCGGCCGAGAGATTGGGAACCTTGGCCTCGGGAATATCTAGAGCATAGAGTTTGTGCCTAGCTATCCCTACGGCGCCTTCAGCTCTGGGGAGAGGTGGTGGTGGTCAGTTACAAGGTGACTGATAACATCATCGCCAGCATCTAAGCACACAGATACCAGTACGTAAGGGCGAGAGGGAAACCGGACAAAAAGTGGCAGAGAAAAGGGAGAGAAATGGTGTGTGTGCCTCTGCCATCCCGGACAGCATGCAGGGATGGGTTTGTCCATCGGGCTTCCACAACGGGAAAGCAATGTGGGGGCGCGCCCTTCTCAGTCGGCGGCGGACGGGGCCGCTTCCGGCGCGCTGGGTCCCGAACTTCTTCTGTGAAGGTTTGTGTGTGTATGTGTCTGTGAAGCAACTCAAGCTCAGGAAAGGAATTGCGGAATTTCCTAGGCCGCCCGCGGCCGGGTCAGCTGGTGATGTCCGAAAAAGCAAATATGTGGAAATCGCGACTCCTGTCATTGGCGCGAGGGAAGGCAAATAGTAGTTTAGCCAAGACGAAGCTGACTCGAATCGCGGTAGGTACGGAGTAGGCCTGGTTGTAATCACCGGGCTTTTCGATGCGCGGGATGTAGAGTAGTTCACGGATTTTGGAAGAGGCTTGGTGCAAGGTAGCGCGAGTCGACCATCGCGATTTGGAGGGCGTTTGAAGCATCACGATCTTTATCGATTCACTCGAATCGACGGCACGTTTGCGTATTTGTTTTGCTTTGGAACTCGTTTATCCGTACACCGAAACGCAGTGTCCGCTTCTGCTGAGACTTGCCATCTCATTCCTGTCTGTCGCGTTCAGTCGTTCACTTGGCTTGATGGACAATTTGCAGTACAACTACGTATTCCCATAGGCTACCTATACTACGTGGCCGAAGGCGGCGGTCAGATGCGCAGAGACGGAATGCACGATGGGGAAAAGCCCAGCGGCGGCTCGCGGGCCGGCGACTCTTCCGTCCGAAAGGGGATGGGGGACGGTGAGCCCCCCCACGCGCGGTTGGACCGAGTTCCCGCCTCCCTACCACTGCACCAAGTTCAGAGAAGAGTAGGTAACCCGCAAGAGTGCAAAACTGCCTCCGGCTCCGGGACAGCGTGCAACCCCCCACGCGCAACAGCTCGGTAGGGAGTACGGGGTACCTTGAAGCCATATGGCACTGGCGGGACGGCATTGGTACCGTCGTGGTAGGCTGTAGCATACCATACATACATAGGCTGCACACCAACTTCTTTTGGGACCCTGGCGTGTTGTTGGGTGGGTTGGTTTGGATGTAACCACACGGGGCTGGCTCAAAGGCCTCGTTGTATGTAGGAGATTTGCAAACAGGCGCGGACACGCAAAAGGCACCGGCCGGAGAGGGAATCTGGGCGGTGTACGGGGGGTACGGGTGCGGTGTAGGAGGATGCTACGTGACGACGAGGAAGGAGGTGTGGCTTCTTATCGTGGGCTATGGGGATTGGGGGGGCTTCTTTGCTTTCTTCGAGAAGGATTCCGGCTTCATGAGGACTGGATGGGGTGGTGTAAGCCGGAGATGCGAAAGTCTGAAGTATCATGAAATGATGGGGTATTTTCCAAGCTCTGAGTAGTTTTGCGTGTGGGGGTGGTTCAGGTACTCAAATCCTCTGATAATTGCCGTTTATAAAAAAAAATTCAACATGTGTCGAAATGCCTGAGCCCTCAAGACGTGGGATAGCAAGTTCAACATATCCCGCGTTTCATGCAGCAGTCCCAGCTACGGGGTTGTGCGGGTTTCGCTAGACTCCTCTCGACACCGAGGAATTGTTTACGACCTAGCACCAGTGCCATCAATCGCTGCGAAACGGGGGAAAGTTGATATCGCCATGGCCGTGAGTTATGTCGATCAACCTTTACCTTTGCCCTCAGTAAGGGGAAGGCGGGCGGTTGACCAAGTACCGAACTTTGCTATGCCTGAGCGCCGTGTTGTTTCGCGTATCAGAGGTATCGAGGAGTGGGATAGAACCATTTGGTCCAGTGAGAACGGGAAGGGAAAACACGTGGGGAACGTGATTTGCTGCGTTATTGCAAGCTGGTATTGTTTGCAAAATGGTAGCAGACGTTGCTTTTTCTCTCGTCGCTTGGTGTCTTTTTTTTCCCTCTCTTTTGCGCTATTGTGCTAGTCAAGTCTAGTTGATAATACATGTACCGATCCACGCCCAACGGACGGATAACGACGACCCGTCGGCTTGGTTGTTCTCATCGCATTGGAAATCGGCGTTTGGCGCGGGAGAAAAAATGGACAGGACTTGTTTCTATCACAACTCACAAGACGATGTCTTTTTTCTTTCTTTCTTGCTAACATTTTAGGTTATCAAAGGGGGGGGGGCCATCAAATCATGATAAATCTGGAAACCAGTTTCAGAGAATGCATGCAAAGCTGAAGAGCCACTATGGATACCTTACTGCGTACAGATGCATTCACGTCGTTCAACGGGGTGGCCCCGTTTCCCGACGATCCGGGGTTGCTTTGGCACTTTACCCGACGATCTTTCAGCAGGAGGCCGACGTACGGATAGATCGAAGGCCTCCGTCCGGCGTTTGGCGCGCAGGGAGAACAGGAAAGGGGATGGCGGCGCCTGGAAGCGGCGGCGGCAGCGGCATGCGGCAACAGTAACGGTAACGACAACGGCGTATGACCTTGCATTTTGATAGAAAAGTGACGATCTTTACTGATACTGTTTTGTCGTCAATAATGACAGCTACCCGACGGGAGAAGCTTAATGACTAGTCCACTCCAGGTGCGCAGATTGATAGAGCAGTACGGGATAGAGTTGGCGATTGCGTAGGCGCGTTCACGGTTCCGCCCTCCTCACCCCCCCGCTGTCAGATTTTGTTTCGGGAATGCTCAGCTGACCTACCCATCTCGTCATTTGTGACGGCGAGTCGCGCGGGACAGGCCTGAGCTTTTGTCTCCACCCGCGGAGAGACTGGCGAGCTTCCCCGGATGACAAGGGGGTAATGGGCATAGGCCTTTTTTTTCCCCTTCTTGGGATTTGTCTTCGCGGTTTGTCTGGGATGTCATTGGAGGATGTGGTTTTTATGAGAGAGAGAGAAGAGTTTGGATGGTGGGGCTGGGACCATTCTTGGGCGATAGGATCACAGTGGTTTTGGAGGGGAATAACTCCAAACGGGCGAACGGCTTTTCTTTGGAGCAGCGCATGCAAAGCAGGGTAAGAGTCGATGAGATGCAGCTGGGTCCGCGTCCGCGGTACGGACGTTATGCGCGTGACGGCATACCGGGGACGATTACAACTTGTCGTGTAGGAGTGCGTCTGAGTACCTTGTTATCGAAGAAAGTTAATTCTTTCTGAGTCACAAGTACAAGAATACAGTTTTAATAAAACAGTGGTGTAGGAGTGCGTCGTTTCTTATTTCAAGTCAACCGTTCTTCTGGGGTTGCGACGTTGGCGGTTGAGATCAAAAGGGGGGGGGGGGGAAGAGGTTTCTGTGTGAGTGGTATGTGATGCATTGGTCTTGGATTCAAGAATGGCATCGTGTGGTTATCTCCAGGCCTGTGTGTTTGTGGATAGTCCCCAGTAGCCGTCCGACACTCTTGATCAACAAACAAGCTGCGGCAGGTGTGTTTGGGGAATGCTGTATTGGCGCGGGTGACGTTGCTCTTCACCAGATGTCCGGCCAGAAAGTACGCTCAAACCCCAGTTCCAGACTTCTAGCCATGTTTGTTTGCTTTTTATCAGACAACTGCCACGCTGGAGGAAAGCCAAGACATGGGGGAACCGGGGATTCTGATCCGCGGTAGTAGCCTTCATTGACCTGGCTGGATATCGTTGGGGTTGGTTGTCATTCAGACGATCGACAAACAATAGTCGGTTGTATCTGGGAATCCCATTGATCGAGAGATGTTATGGGCGAATCGGTGATGATTCTTCAATGGCAATAGAGCACG